ATCGCCAATTTCGTTTTGTCGTTCATATTGGTACTAGAGCGTCTATACTTACAAGTGTTATGTGGGGTGGTCCCGGGACATTGGTACATGATGAAAGCGATAGCAACTGATAAGGGCTGATAAGGCGTCAGAACGCAAAAGTCGTCGATTCCGTTACCTGGCTCGCGTTGACACCAGAGCGTCCATACTTACAAGTGTTATGTGGGGTGGGACGGGACATTGTTGGTGGGTGATGAAAGTGATAGCAACTGATAAGGGCTGATAAGGCGCGTCAGAACGCAAAAGTCGTCGATTCCGTTACCTGGCTCGCGTTGACACCAGAGCAACCATACTTACAAGTGTTATGTGGGGTGGGACGGGGACATTGTTGGTGGGTGATTGAAAGTGATTACAACTGATAAGGGCTGATAAGGCGCGTCAGAACGCAAAAGTCGTCGATTCCGTTACCAGCTCGCGTTGACACCAGAGCAACCATACTTACAAGTGTTATGTGGGGTGGGACGGGGACATTGTTGGTGGGTGCCAGAAAGTGATAACATTGATAAGGGCTGATAAGGCGCGTCAGAACGCAAAAGTCGTCAATTCCGTTACGCAGCTTTTGACACTAGAGCGTTCCTACTTACAAATTCTATTTGTAGTGGTACGTGCACATTGTATCGATATAACCAGCTTACTTAATAGCAGTCGATTGCATAAACTCAATCAAGTCTTCAGCAAATGATAAGTTTCATTTCTATAAAGAAAGCCCAAACTCATTAAACCGCTAATCCTTTCGGGTTCTAAATAATGGTGAATGTAAATAAATGATAAGCCTTAGCTCCTCACTTATGTAAATAGGCATATTTCATTTTATTTTGAGACTGACAGCAATCCTATTCACCGCTAAATTATCTGAATTCAAGAAGAATGCTGGATGTTTACAGTTGTGAGATAAATATGCCAGTTCAGCTCCAGACGTTATCACGCGTATTCTCGATGGACTTCAGCGAAACTGGGAAAGGTCTAACACATTCAATAGTGAGGTGGTTAATGGAGTACCTCATGCTGATATTCCATGGGTCCTCCAGTTTCGCTAAAGCCTGCCGTGTGATGCGCGCGATAGCGGGCGGAGCAAAACTGGTTTTGGTAGTATGACAGAAAGCTTAGATGGTGGTTTTGAGAACAACTAGAGTGCGCTACTTTAGAGGGGAATTTTTGGAAATCTGATCATTTCAATCCGAATAGGCCTCAAAAGGGGAGCGAAATTATTGTAGTGATTAAGGAGCGCGTTTTTGTTAGATATGAGTCTTCGCCCGCTGGATAAAAACATACTTCCAATGAAAACAGTTGTATCGTGGATGGCTGTTGCTAGAGACTTTGCCTGTGTCATGGACTGCCACGAAGTTATACGACTGGCAGGAAGGAAAAATTCACTCGCCTAGTTTTTGCAGAGGTAACAATTAAAGGAGGAATTCTACGATAAGAGCGAAGGTCGAAGAGGAGGAAAATTGCCCAGTGGGGAGACAGACGGACCTCCTGGGGGTGCGGACCGATGCGCAATTGGCAGCGAAAGTATTTGACATTGGCGATGTAGCATGGCTCACTCTTTGCGCAGTCGCGCGTTGTAATCGACTCCATGGCCGCGGCGATGTCGGTGTCAGCATCGAGATCCATTAGACCGTAATCTGCCGAACCTCTTGAAGGCAGAATTTACGATGAAAAGTTAACTTGTTGGAAATAAGGGTAGAGTTGGTTAGTGGAGCAGGGACGAAGAAGAAACCATTTGAAACGGCCCGAAACCCGAGTAATGAGACCCCTTTCTCCCCCGATGATTGCGAATTTCATGCGACTCTCATGCCTTGCTCTACGCTCGCTCTCACTATCGCAAGCACTCGCCAAGTAGAGAACAACTGCGGCGAGGCGTACCGGCCACCGCGCCAAGATTAACCATGGCAGTAGCGAGGTAAAATGTTTGCCTTTGGCCGACTGCGCGTTCGCACCCTCAGGGACGGTTCCGCCGGTGTCTCGCCAACTACATGCAATTTTCCCATTCTCCTTGACCTCCGTTTTATTCGCTGAATTCTTTCTTAATTTAAAAAAAAAATGCTTCTTTCCCTTCTACCATTGGGGCCTACTTCATTGACCCAAGAACAAGCTCATGAGTCTCAGGGGGGAGGAGATGACCTTTTGAGAACCTTTTTTGCTCGTACCGAGCACTTTCGCTCCGGAATATGGCCAAGCTCAGGTTCCACAATCTGAAAAACTTCCTTCTTCCTCTCCTCAACAAGATTTCTTAATTTCACTTTTCATTCCGAACTTTCCTCCCAAGTGAATATCAGCCTTATTTCCGATTTCCGCTTTTCCAGGACGATTATGACTGAACAAAATCCTTCGGTAACCGTCCAAGATATATGGCGTGGACTGGAAGGAGTGTACAAAAAGGGATTGACGAAAGCGATAGGAGTGTCGAACTGGAACGGTGAACAGATCGAGCGTGTCCTCAAAATGCTACCATTACCGATTTCACAACTGTCAGGTAGTTTAAAGCAACAATCCAGGAACGAATTCGCGGGTAAGGACCACCTATAATGACGTTGCAGGTGAGAAGTTGGTCAATGGAGAAAGAAAAAGTAGAAAAAAACGTCGGGCAGGGGCTTAGACAGGGACTCCCCCTGCCGTTTAGGGAGACGTGTGTTGGACGAGTTGTCCGAACCTGCCCGTAGTACATGCGCTCCAATTGCAACTGCTGGCAAATAGCTGCATGCTTGCAAATACATAACTATTTGCCAGCAATCGAAATTGAAGCGCTTCAATTGCGTTCTTATGGAATCGACCTCATACAGCGCGGCGGTCCCGCAACGACCGCTAGTCAAGCACGGACTCTGCACAGCGTATGTTGAGCGATCCGCCTCGGTATGGGTGATCCGCCCCCTCCAAGAGGACTTCGACCCCTTCCAGCGCATTTTAGAGGTAGGTTTTGAACTTAAAGACATTTCCTATAAACTTTAGTTGGGCTGGGGCATGTTTTGACCGCCTAATGACCAAGTAGTTGAAACCCTGCCTGGACTGTTGCTTTAAGGATAACAATGGGTACGATATTTTTGATATCATTTTATTAGGTTGAGCTACATCTTCATTGGTCTCAACATGATTTACATGAACTTTGTAAAAAGCACAATATTTCGGTTACTTCCTATGCGTCATTGGGATCGCCTGGTCGAGTGAACTACAAGGCAGCGTAAGTTTTGGTCCCTTTGAATTCACCTATCGTTCTTAGTTCGGCCTCACTACTTCAAAGGGTATACAAGTACCAACCTACGTACCCTCCACCAGCAGGGAAAAGTCTCGAACAATTTTTGATGGACACTGAGTGCTCGAAATCCTCTTGTTTCCCACCGTGTTTTGTCTATGGAAGCAATGCAAGTCATCAAGACTTCTTCAATGGAGAGGATAGTTCTTGGATAGAGCTCGTGCCCACCACGTCTCGAAGACAAAAATCGCAATAGAACGGGATGTTCATGAAAGAGTTGGGTAGTGGGGAGGATAGAGGGGTTACCAAGTGGGCAAAGGGGCGAACTATTCTGGCATAAATTACATCAAAGCTGCTGCTGAATCACAAGCTGGTTCTTTCTTTTCTACGCGCAGTTCTTCGCATATAAAAATTTCTAGAAGCTTTTTTCTCCTCGAGTTATTCCTTGAGGTTTTATGTCATTATTGACTGGAACGCGGCCATGGGTCTCTTGGCACACTACGGCAGAAACAGACAAATAGTTTCCGATGCACGATGCCATCATTCACGCTGTTTGCTGCGGATGTAGCAGAATTGCGACGCTTATTAGCTTTACATGGGCTTGTTTACGCAAACTCCTAAATATAGGAATAAAGTGGCGTGAACAGTTAAAAATCTCCCAAGAACTAAACGGTCCTTACAGAGAAACGAAATGGACATCTGCTCCAAGTGATATGGAAGATCCAAATGTGAAACGTTTTGGCTGTGAAGTACCGTGCTCAAAAACCCCTGCACAGGTTAAGAAAATTGGCGCTAACGTAGTTGATGGGGGGGGCACGTGGCGCACTATTAGCCTGCGACTCCACTGTTGCTTACTGTTAGTCTGCGCCTATTTCGAAACTGCTTCGCGATGGCTAACATAAGCCATGGAGAGGTCAGAAGGAGACGAGCGAGCGCACTGCGCAACCCCTCCCACCCCCTCAAGTACGTTAGCACCAAAAAATCTATGTGATTATTGTTACACTAATTTAACTAGTTTATTGATTGTCTGCACCAGTATTTACTAACCTTGCCATTTGAAGAAATGGGATGGCTTAGTGCAATATGAGACCGGAACGTGCGTTATTAAAGTGGTGCGGCACGAAAAGCGCCACCGACTTCCATCGCACCATGAATGGTTGGAATAAAGGCACGAGTAGCCGCTGATTGAATATTGATTGCGTTATTTTGTTCACTAAAATGCCCCTTAGTAAGGTCTCGGCCATAGTACGGCACACAGCGCTGCGGGAAATGGAGAACGCGATATTAGTTACTTTGGACGCGACGAGGACGCGAGACAAAGTATCTGCCAGGTGGATTACGCGGCAGCGCGGCGCGGCAAGGCCTTAGCGCCATTGCCGCGCACTTTTGGGTCGCGACAGTGTCGCGCCCTCAGTGCTTGGGGAGCCCACTATCGCACCCTGGGAAGAACTTCTGCTGGTTGCCTAATCCTGACTCGTGGCTTTAAGCCTTTGCTGTGTGTATTGAAAAGGCGAGAAAGTCCTATGTGTTTTGACAAACACTCAAAAAGTAGTGGATTACTACGGTTCATTACATTTCGCTGTAAACTGCCACGCACGCGGCGCTTTCTATTCGTGTTCGGGGGTATCGTCATAGGAAATTGTTCAGCCTCTCTTAACAGAATTTTAATTTTTTCACTGAACACTTAATCACTTCACAGTTTCTTCCTACGGAGCGTGTCAACTATAGGTTGTCTATAAGGAGTGTCGCTTTTGGTTCAAAAAAAGTTGCTCCTAAATTCTTACGCTCTTATACAAACACTCTATAGGACCGTTTCGGGAGCGATTGTCTGCTCTATCATATGTATGCTATACGAAGTTATTACGTTTTTATAGCCGAGACATTGAAAAACTAGTAGAATTTAAAGAACAAGTCATGACTAAGTTAGGAATGTACGCCTGGTTGATTTTCTCATCTTCTCAAGGATAATTTTTTTCAAAGAAATGCGGTCACTTTCGTGGATAAAGCACCTTACTCCTAAACACCTAAAATTCGAGCTAATTCCTAACAAACATTAAAACAAAACAAATGAGCGAATAGCAGAAGAAGTGCTACAATAAAACAATAGCGTTTCAGAGGAAGAATTTCAATTTGAAAATTGCCATGGCTTATCGGTCGGCCAATTCGAAAAGAAACAGGGCAAACCTTTTTCGGCAACCTAAGGGTGGAATGTTCAGAAGAGGTCATGAGTAAGTAGAGGGTACATCATTGATTGATTTCTCCCAAGGGAAAATAAAGTTAGAGTTGTCGGTTTGGTCAATTTTTGTCGGCTGGACCTCCCATTTCGCAGGCCTAAAATTTGAAAACCCTGGAACATAGGTGGAAGAAGAACATAGCATCTTGTAGAGCAGACAATTCTCTTTCGAATGGTATATGACTCGATGTAAAAGCATGGGGATTTAGATGAAAATTTTTTGGTTGAAAAAAAGCGACACTACTTATGAGACAACCTAATACATGTGGCTACCCCACCACGTACATATTCCGTTCCGAGCTCTCTAGTCGCAAGCTCAAGAACCATCATAAAATTTGAAGTTTGAAATTCAATACTTGGAATTTGGAATTCACTTTGCCCTACCAAGGCAAGGTGAATTCCAATCAGGCAAAGTGGTAAAGGAGGACATACCTTCAACAACCACGACTACGCACCACAGACGATTGAATGGCGCATCCCAGAGCGAGATTTCTTACTAAAATACGTCATGTTCCAGTGAGCACAGCGAAAAATTCTTCCAGAGAAACTCCCATGCTTTTAGAACAAATCAAAGTGGAGGAAAGCAGCGAATTCGGCGGATTGATTTCTAGTGGCTTAATAGAAAATTCTGGCAAAAGAAAGGCTTCCACTTCGAAACTTCGCGGTAGAATCTGGCATATACGTTATAGAGCGGTGATCCTGTAAATTTATTTATTTATTTGAATTTGGCGCTTCTCGTCACACCAATTCTGAAGAAGCTAATGGGCGCTCAAGGTTGCGTCTAAGGAGAATGGGGCCTGTTTCAAGAAAAGTGACAGCAGTTTTTCGCAAGCCCTAATCATTTAGTTTCTAATAAAATGTAAAGGATAAAGAATAAAGTATTCACTGCTGGTCAATCCCTTTTGGGATGCATCACTCATTCTTGTTCCATTTGTACATTCGCAGTGGCATTTGA